GAACGGAGAACGTGAACAATTTGAAAGTATATTATTAGTAGCTCTTATCAACTTAAACTTATACTTGTAATCCAAAAGTCAATAAAGCTATGATGATCCCATTCATTGATTAGCCTAAGAATAATGTTTTTGACCTAATGTGTTTGGCTTGAAACTTAAAGCTCGAACACAATAACATTCGTCTTAGCATATGGACTTAGAAATAAATTGACCTAATGAGCCTGACCTATTCTAAGCTCACTTGAGTTGGGCTAAAAGTTTAAAAAATTTAAATTAAATAAAACTATATGACCCATTTAAATCAATTATCTTAAATTGTTTGAGCTAATCTCATAATACTCAAGTTACAAAGTCATCTTATAAGTGGATGTCCAAGCGTAAATTTAAAAATTAAACTAAATAAAACTGAACTGAAACTTTGGAACAAAATGTTGTAAAATTTTCATTAGTAATCTCAAATCAATACAAAAAAAAAAAAAATTACCATTGAAATAAATTGATTAAAATGATTTTTTATCGAGGTCATAACAAAAACTTGACCTCATACTTAAATAAAAATTTACAAAAGTTAACAAAAAAAAGCTAAGTATCAGCAATATCAATAGTAGTAGCAATGGTACCAATATCCTCAGTAATAGCAACAATGACATCAACTTGTTCCCAATTAGCTATACCCTATTGACATTGACACCCAGAGTAGCCTTAAGCTTGGTATCCAATGCATCATCTCCATTCTTTCCCTCTCTCTCTTACTCATCGGATTGATTTAAAAGAGGTCTTAATTTGATATTATTCAGGTTAATATCAGAGAGATCAAGGTTGAGGTCGGTAAATTTAAATTGCACTTCGTCCTTCGTCAACTTAAAGACACCGATCACATTCTCCTTGGAAAACTTCACTTGGAATTTAATGAATTCGCTGGAGGCTTTAAATTCCTCAATGACATTCTTTTTCAGCTCTTTTTTTCTTTTTTTCTCCCTAACCTTCAGCTTGAACCTCAACTTGGCAATCTCAGCTTGAGCAACACCAAGTTTTAGCTCGACCTATGCCATCATTGACTCTGTTAAAACGTTCTTGATGTGTATGCTTTCTAGCCTAGCTGTCAACTCATCAATCTTTTTCCTTTACTCAATTTCTTTTTTGTGAGACACGTTGAGGCTGGACTTCATGCTGACTAAGGTGTCCGAGCTTATTTGGTATTTCTCATTTAAAATGATCATATTTTTCTCAACCTTAAGTAGGTGAGACACAATTATATATACGTGATGGATGGCTTGGGTGGTGTTATCCATCGGTACATAAAAAAGTTTTTGAAAGATTACATAAGATGAACTCGGACTTAGCAAAATAAAAAATAGAATAATGATGGGTTAAGCTAAAGTTAAACAACATTTACTACTGGAAGAATAATGACTTTATAGAACATCTTAGCCACGTTGGAGTTTTCAAAGGGGTTGTCAGTTGAAATGTACTCTAGCCTCATACAAACCTTTTTGAATTGGTCGTAAAACCCTGGACTCTTGATTTTTAAGGGTAAAAAAGAAGGTATTAGTCTTTGACTTCTTTATAAGAGGGAGAGTTGTCAAAAAAAGCTCTCGATGAGCTGTGGTCTTATGCTTTTTATTAACAAGAGAGTGTTGAGTTGAAAAGCTCAATGGTTTACCCTTTATGGGATTGATGACTTTATTTCCCCTAAGAGAGAGGGCTTCAAGTTGAATCTTTTGACTCTGGGCCTTATTAGGTTTAGGTTTGTGTTGGAAGAGAGAGGAGTTGAAGTTTTTCTTGGAAAACATCTTTGTAAAATCGAGTTAAGAGTTAGATAAAAAATCAAACGAAATAAAGATCCTACAAGATTATCTTACACTTACTCTAGTACTTTATTTTATTTATTACTTTGAGAGAGGTCAGTTCGTGGGCATTTATGACGAGTTCCCCCTACGGGTGTACTTCATTATTTTATCTCAATTTGATAGGTCCAAGATGGAGAGAGTAATAAGTACATCTATAAATTGACCAGGCTCATTTATTATCTTTTAGGCATCGACCTCGACCTTGGTCTCGATCTCATCATTTTTATTTTATTTTTATTTTTTTATGATAGAGGAAGAGTAGTTTTCAATTTTTGATAGAGCTTGGGTAATTAGCGAACATTTTTTTATTAGGCTAAGCTGTAATATAGTATCAACTCCTATCATTATAGTACTTTTTAATATAAATTTTTTTTTGAATAGAAAGAGATCGAGAATAATATCAAAGTATTGATAAAAAATGATAAAACCTACTATGTATGATATAGAGTTAGAGGTGAGTTGAATGATAATTAAATTATAAGAATTAAAAATTAAAAAAAAAAGAATGAAGTGGGAACTTTAGACCGTCAACAAATGAATCCCAATATATGCAGAGTTAAAGTGGTTTCAGTTTATCGGTGATTCGATCTAAAGAGTTCAACATTAATTTGCTATACCCTTTTTGAAAAAATGAAAGTTCATGGACGTGATGAGCTGAACACATATTAGAGTAGTTTTCAGGATTGGCCTTACCTTTCAATTCCCTCATATATCCTTTAGGGTTATACTGAGGTCATAAGAATTATATATAGGAATATTGACAAACTTGTCCTGTTTTGAGAAACTCATTTCCTTATCACCATCTTTCTCATCGGGGGTACCTTTCTTATCCTACTCTTCATCGAAACCTTCATCATCATTAAAGTCTTTATTATCAAAAGACTTAGACTCTTGAGCAAGAGTAAGATTTCGAGATGGAGCAATGGGTGAAAATACCATAACTTCGAGGGAAAAGGAAACCATTCGGGAGAAAAAGTGATATCAATAAGAGTTGATCGATGAGGAATAGAAAAAAACAATAGAAATATTTATTGGTATGAGAGCATAAGAAAAAGAAAGTTGATAAGACTGGACCCTAAAAGGGGAAATAGCTAAAAATGAGGAAAGGTCAGTCATAGAAGACGGATCGACTTAAGAGACAAAAAAATCATATGGATTTTCCAAATCAAAATCTATTTGAGCACATAGCTTTTTCGTGCTCAAGATATGTTCTCTTTTTGCCCAAGCATTCTCATTATTCTGTTACTTTCTTCCTTAGACATGGGATTGAGCTAGTAAATGCTATTATGATAATCTCGACCTTTGATAATTGGTGGGACTAGGTCATCGTTGTCTTTTTGAAACGACCCCTTAGGCTCTACCTTAAAACTCCTAACCTTTCTAAAACTGAAACTAGAAGACATGATGAAGAGAGAACGTACTAAGAAAAATGGAGAGAGTGAATGAAAAGAAAAAAATTGTAAGATCAAAAATAAAAAAAGCTTCCGAGGTCAAAAAACTTAGATTGGATGAAAAGTAAAAAAGTATAAAGGTAAAAAATAAAGGCTTCAACAACCTTTTATATCGCTGTGCTTCAAATTAGTTGAACTATCTAGATTATGCCGTGTGTTAGAATGCATTTTGGAAGATGTTTTTTTGTCTTCACCATTCTGAATTTTGCCACCTAAACTACCTCTCTCCTTATGTAATGTGACCTCAACCACTAGGCCAGTCAGACCGAACGGCTTCCTAGACTGAACTAGCTTTGTGAATCGACAGTTGGTTCATAACTAGAATTCAAAATAAAGACTCAAATCCAAACTTTTGAAAAAAAGTCTAAGTCTCACATTGAACAAGCTAGCTCTTATCTTAATCTTAGATCATTCTGGACAAATGACATTTTGGTAACCTTCAAATCAACCATGCATTCAACTCAAAGCACATGCGTAAGATCGAACTCACATTAGGTTAGCCTACACCATATCACCTTAGGCCGTAGTAAAAGGTCAATAGTCTCTTGATGCTGACCTCCATGTCAACCTTGGCCATAGGAGGTCGGATCTCTCATGACCTCCTTTAAGCTGGTCGATCTAGGTGAAATAAACTAACAGAACACTCAACAATATGATATTTAGACTGCATAGTAGGGGGACAGAATGTTGAGGGTATTTTGTAGTCCAAAGAGTATAATGGCCTTTTTCTTCATTAAGAGCCCCTGACAGATGGTAAGGGACATTTCGAATATCATGTCAGGTCAGCCTAACACTTAATGCCACATCAATTTAGTCATGTCATTATTGTCCCTTATTGACCTTGTACCTCTCATATAAAAATATAAGTATCTAGGCATTATCATCTTAGGTTCTATCTTGTCTTAACCCTTTATCTTTTTTTCTTTCCGACCTCATTCATCTTGATTTTTGATTTATGCATTGGAGTGCAAATGCAAAAAACACTTGTTACTTTTACACTTGATCTTTCTACTATGTTTTCGCTTTTTGTCTTTCAAAAATATCCAACTCAACACAAATAAGATGCATGCTCATTTTATCATTATACTCCTAAAATTTTTAACAATTGTTTCAATATCGGATGGAACCTATAGCTAGGCTCTTCTTGATATCATGCATAAGATTCAAAACAAACATAATTTTGGTTTGTTTTTTCCCCTCGTAAATGTCTTCCTCGAGGGAATACATAACCGTCAAACTTTAATTTGAGATAAAGAATCTTAGCTAATGTTGGAAAACTATTATTTCAATCCAATGTATTCATTGGCTAAGAACTCACCAAGTCACCATCTAATTTTTTCTTGATAACTGGAAACCTAAAACCATGACAGCAAAAGCTATTGGCCAATTGATTCCTGAAGGATCACAATAATAAATTACCAAAAACCATCATTTCTAGTTTCAGTATCTGACTTTCTGAAATTAGATATCTAGAAAGTCCACATTTGGGAAACTTCATTTAGCCATTCAACTACTGAATATAGTACATTTTATCCAGAAAATCCACGTGGGGGACCCCACAAATTAGACAATGAAATATCATTGAAAGCTGCACCCTTCACGAAGTCAAAACAGCCAGTACAGCTAAGACTCTTCTGTATCTTAATTGGGATAATATTTTATAACTCTTCTTTTGTTTTATTTTGGTGTTAAATAAAGACTTAGACTCTCTCTTATTATTCCGATAAATGCCTTTGGAACTCATCTTCCTTGTCTCATTGTATTCCAAATCATGGCTAATATATCTTTCTTGTTTCCTTTGCTCCTTATAGTTGCTTTGATAATTGCCAATGGCTCTGCAACAAAGGAGAAGGTAGGGATATATGAGCTCAAGAAAGCGCATTTGACTGTTAAGTTCACCAACTGGGGTGCAACTATTGTTTCTGTTATCCTCCCTGACAAATATGGTTAGTTGCTGTTAACTAGAAGTAATCATCCTTTTAAGTTTCTCCCTTTTCTTGATCACTTGTTTCAAGTCCAATATCAGTTTCAATTTTCTTATCTGTGTCAATTTTTCTCATTGATTTTATTTAATGGAGGATGTTCTTCTTATGCTATCCATTGGTTTTTCTGCTAATTTTCAGGCAAACTCGGAGATATTGCTCTGGGATATGATTCAGTGGATGAGTATAAGGTAAGTTTCTGCTCTCTATTTGCAGCCTTTTGCTGGTTTCTTGCTTTTGCTTTGCCTTGTGAATGGAAAGTCACAGTTTTTTTTGGGAGAGATTCTCATTGCTCTCTCTCTCTCTCTCTCTCTTAATCACACATGCTAAAGTGGGTCCAGTCCTGATTGCTCCCGCTAAGAATAATAATCAATGAAAAGGTTACAGCTGGATTTGCCCTAAAATCTGTCCATAATGTGGCCTCAGTAAGATCCACAAGTTAGTGTTATCAGCTTGGATACATTAAAATATATAAATGGTAGTGAGTGACTAAGGCAGGTCTTTTCTCTATTATATGCTATAATTTATTTCATTTGTTTGGCTTGTTAACCTTTCTTTCAATTTTCCACCTATTCCACCAGAGATTCTAACATGAACTTCCATCTCATAGAAAATCTCCAAAAAGAACAACAATGCATTTGAATTTATTATTGTAAATTCAACTTTGTAATTTATGTTTTGGTTTTTGCCTTGTCTTCAGAAAACTTACTAATAGAATAGAGTGATTGCTTTAAAATCCAATAGCAAACTAACTAATTTTCATGGTGGGCAAATTCTGATGATACTCTGCTGTTAGACATTTATCCTAAGAAAACTTGGTAACTAGTGATAAATTTTATAATTTCAAGGTTCAGATTATAGTCTAATTTAAGCAAATTTATATTTTACTTGGAAGCTTGATTGAAAACTCTAGTATATTCTTATAATTATTTTGTCTTCCTTTTTGCCATTTTTAATTAGATATTTATTGTAACCATTCTTATAGTACTTTGAAAGGTCAATCCTTTCTTTTGAAAATTGTCTTATTGATTTAGTGCATGGCTTGTATTGGTTGAAATAGGATAAAACTTTGACAAGTCAATCTGAAAATCTCTTATTTTGCCTAGTTTTCATATTTGTACAAATATTCTTTAGCTTCTTATCGCATCAAAAATATTTCATTTACAAACAAATTTTTTTTCCCTATCTATGGCCTTTTTCACATTATGATGCAGTTAATATTTCATTAATTTCTTTCTTTTTTTATGAAAAAGTTGGTAATTTTCTGCAGAATGATACTTCCTACATTGGAGCCATTGTTGGTAGGGTTGCTAACCGAATTGCTGGGGCTCAATTTACTTTGAATGGAGTCCATTACAAATTGATCCCAAATGAAGGCAAAAACATGCTTCATGGTAAATCAATTCTTCATTTTCATCATTATTTCCTATTTCACTTACCAAAACTAAACAAGATTCTGTTCTCATTTTATGTTGCAATTTGTAATATAAATGAACATTAGGTGGCCCCATTGGATTCAGTGATGTTGTCTGGAAAGTGAAGAAATATAAGAAAGATGGCGATGCTCCTTCCATTGTCTTTGCCTATGACAGCTATGATGGTGAAGAAGGTCATCAGTGAACTATTTTTACCAATCCGGGCTTCGAAATTCATCAATGTTAATAATTAAGGTGGAGAAAATTTTCGTCTGATATTTCGTTTCTTGTATATTTCACAGGATTTCCTGGTGCACTCAAAGTCACTGTGGCCTATACCCTTCTCCCTGACTACAAGTTGATTGTGACAATGAAAGCCAAAGCTCTAAACAAGGCTACTCCTGTAAATCTAGCCCAACATACATACTGGAATCTTGGTAACCACAACAGTGGTGATATCCTGTCAGAAGAAGTCCAGATTTTTGCTTCCCACTACACCCCTGTCGATAGCCAGCTCATTCCCACTGGAAAATTTGCAACTGTAAAGGGAACTCCATACGATTTCCTCCAACCCCACAGTGTTGGAAGCAGAATCAACGAACTTCCTAGTGGTTATGATATCAACTACGTACTTGATGGTGCTCCTGGAAAGATAAAGAAAGTAGCTGTGGTGAAGGATAACAAATCTGGAAGAGTTATGGAGTTGTCGACAAATCAACCTGGTGTGCAATTTTATACAGCAAATTTCCTGAAAGATGTGAAGGGAAAAGGTGGATACGTTTATCAACCTCATGCAGCTTTATGTTTGGAGACTCAAGCTTTCCCTGACTCCGTCAATCACCCCAACTTCCCTTCAACTATTATTTACCCTGGAAAGAAATACAAGCATGTTATGCTGTTCGAGTTTTCGATTTCATCCTAGACAAACCTGGTGTGTCAAACCATTACCGCAACCACTTAAATCTTTGTTGCAGTCCTTTTAATGTTCTTGTTGTAGAATCATAAAACTTGAAACAATAATGTATTCCAGATTTTAACTTTTAACAATCTGATTCCCAAAATGGGAAATAAACTTGTTTTAGAGCAAGTAATTTTGTGATTTCTTCAGTAGGAAGAAACTTGTTATGCTTTGATCAAGTAGTGAACCAAATCAAAAGATTTAGAAGTGATTGAAGATGTGAGTATGAATCAATTGAATTTAATAAATTTGTACAATCTTTGGGTATTATCAATGAGACTAGGAAACAAATTCTTGAACTATACAAACTAGGAAAAATTATTAAATGTCTAAAACAAAGAGACGCGAAATCAGCCTGGCAATACTAGCACTTTCAGCAGCAGAAGCAGCCTTGTCTTCGGCATGAAACCTTGTAGCAAGCCGCAAAAAGGACTGAAACCGAGCATTAGCACTGAAATCATAACCATCATCAAACACCTTAGCCAAAGTGTCAGCAATCACACCTTCTCTCAATCCATAACCAGAAACCAGCATCTCTTCAATCCCAAGCAAATCAAATATCTCCTCCAACAAAATCCCACCAGCAACAATTAATGGACTCTGACCTTCTCTCGAAAATCCCATCTCTCCATGCTTTCAGCTCTTTTCCTCCCCTGCATAACCTCTCAACAACACTCTTCAATTCCTCTCTGCTAAACCTCCTATCCATTTTGCATTCCCTAAACAAAGCCTCATTATTATAAAAAAAATCCAATTCATATACTCTGAAAATTGCTTTTTCAATGGCTCTTATTGTCCCTGATGAACCCACAGCTACTTCAAAGCCAAAGTTTTTAACTTTCTCCACTAACCCTGATTCCTTGACTACGTTCCTTTCATAGTCCCTCATATTCGAAACTCTGCCAGCGTCTTTATCCCCGAAATTCTGTTGAGACAAAGTTACGTGACCAAGCGTCAAAGACATACAAAAGTCAACCTTTCCACGTGATCCAATAGCAAACTCAGTTGACCCACCTCCGATATCAACGTTCAAAACCAAATGATCGAAAACATGCAGATACTGTAGGGCAGCCAGGTAAGAAAACCGAGCTTCCTGTTCACCTGATAAAACTTCAACATTGAACCCGGTGGATTCAGCGACCGATTCGATGAACCGGGCCTTGTTTCGGGCTTCACGGACAGCCGATGTGGCTACGCAGCGAGTGTGGAGAGATGGGACATGGCGGGTTTGAATGAGTTTGTTGAATTTTTTAAGTGATTTGAGAGAGAGGTGTTGGGAATGGGTGGAGATTGTGGAAGAAGGCGAGTCACGGCCTAAAACGAAGGGTTCTTTGACGGTTAAAATTGGGACGAATTTGCCTGGGGAATGAGCTTCAACTATCAGAAGTTTGAAGGCATTCGTGCCCATGTCAATGGCAGCAAACAGATTGTCAGCCATGGCGAAAGTTTTATTTAATTTTTAGTTTTCTTTTGAATTCCCTCTATCCTTTTATAGTGATTATCTCCGTTTCGATTTAGGATTATAAAGTTTGGACAGAGAAGTAACAATGCCGTCGCTGAAAAGAAAAGGAGAACTAATGGGCTTTGTGACATTGATCAGCTGATCATCGCCTTTTCGTTTGGAAGGAGAAGCAACAATGCCGTCGCTGAAAATAAAAGGAGAATTAATGGGCTTTGTGGCCTAAAAATGTCACCAAAAGGTCCAAATGAATAAATGAATATTGTTCATATTAACTTCTTCGTTTGGGTTGGGCTTGGAGTGGATTTAAAGAATCACAGATCCAAAATTTGACTACTTTTTTTAAATAAAAATTTTATGCGATTATTAATTTTTTTTTAGTTCACTATATTTGGGTTGTTTATTTTTCATAAAAAAACTTTATATTTCTTATAATTCAAATGCTATTATGATAAGTAAATAGCTATAAATTATTTCAAGGTATATAGAGTAAGAAGGATGAGATTATAATTGGTTAAATTTTTTATTAGAAATATTTTAACATAAGTTTTATTTTAAAAAATTAGAGAAAATTTAAAATAAATAAATATTTTAAATACAAAAATAAGCAAAGGAATGAATAAAATAATAAATACATTTTCATAGACATAGAAAATACAAAAATGTCTCAAAGCAATCTTACTTTTTTAAACATAAAACAATGAGTAAAGTAGTAAATTTTTCAGCACCTAAATAATAGTAAATACTCATTTTAGTATCCAATTCAAAACCGAGAAAGGAATTCTAAAACAAGAAGAAATTTTTAAGTATACTATTCAATAGCTCCACCAATGATGTTAAAATATAGATTTTTATGTCAAATTTTGAATAAAAATGATATTTTCTGAGTATCTAATTGTCTCCAAGTATGTTATGAGTTTTTTTTTTTGAATGATTTTGATCAAAATTTGATTCATGATATAAAGGGGAGAAATAACATCAAGACATGTTAATCAAACATTGAAAACTATTTCAACCCAATGTTTTCATTAGTAGTGAACTCACCATCTGATGTTTACTTCATAAATGACAAGTAAGAACCTAAAACCATGAGAGCAAATCAGCCAAAAATCATTTGTCTAATTGATTTCTGAAATGTTTTATTCAGTTACCACCATTTTCAGTCACTTCAGATTTTTTGAAATGAGAGGTGGAAAGTCCACAATCGGTCAAGTGGGGAGCCCAAATTTGGAGAACAAAGATTGGTAGAAAGCTCATCCCTTCACCAAGTCAAAAACAAAACAGTAAAAGCTTGGAAACTACACAGGCACCATATCTAAAAACAACTACACTGACTATATTTAGATAAATGATTATCCTTGCATCAGTTTCCTATTTTTGTGTTCATAAACTTCTTTTTCTCTTCATATTCCTATAAATTCCTGATCAGGAACTCACCTGTCAATCTCCATTTCTATTGTTTGAAAACATGGCGAAGATTTCTTTCTTATTTTCTTTTCTGCTTGTGGTTGCTTTTGGTTTTGTCAATGGCTCTCCACCAAAGGATGCAGTAGGAATTTATGAGCTGAAGAGAGGAGATATGTCTGTTAAATTCACCAACTGGGGTGCAACTATTATCTCAGTTGTTCTTCCTGATAAAAATGGTTTGTTCCCTGGTCTCTTTGGTTTCCATTTTTCTTATCTATTTACATTTCCTAATGGAAGATGTTCTTATTTATGCATATTTTTTTTCATTTTTTCCGGCTTTTTTTCAGGGAAACTGGGTGATGTTGCTCTTGGGTATGATACTATCACGGACTATATGGTAAGTTTTTCAATTTCTTCATTTGCGGCCTTTACTTGAAGCGTGATTTTGCTTTGTCAATGGAGAAGCACTGAGTTTTTCTTTGGGAAATTCACAATGCTGTCTTTTTCTCTCTCAAACACCCTAAAGTAGGTCCTGACTTAAATACAATATAAGTAGACAAATATTACAGGCTCACAGCTAGCTAGATTGTCTATATAATACCCTGTAACACAATATTTTCATTTTGAAGAATCTGACCAAATTAAAAACCTGGGTTTTGGTTTTGACTTTTGTCAGCTTTGATTCTTTAAATAGTATAAATGTCAGTGATATTGGGCCAGTCCTTGCTTGATATAATATTAATCCATTAGCTTGATTATACAATGGATAGTAACCTTCTGTCATTTTATTTGCATGACTTGATTCTATTTCAATTTTCCATCTTATACACATAAATTCTTCAGGGAGTAAAATCCAAAAATGCCACTACCAATTCTAGTGATCAAAGTGCATAGGCCTATTTTTAATATAAAGTCCTAAGTTTTCCTAAATTTAACCAATGTTTTACCCCTATAACACTATGATAATCTTGAAGATGAGAGAATTTGAAATTCTTTCCTTTTTACTGGTGGTGCATGGTTGATTTGATAAAAAAATTATCTTCACGTTCTTAAGTTTGGTACTAATTCTCCTCTCTATTTACTCAAACTTGATATAAACTTCTGCAGAATGATACCACATACTTTGGTGCTCTTGTTGGACGTGTTGCAAATCGAATTGGAGGCGCAAATTTTGTTTTGAATGGAACCGAATATAAACTGGTGGCTAATGAAGGAAAAAACATGCTTCATGGTAAGTTAATTCTTCATTCCTAGCTTAATTTTTTCGAATTTTCTCTGAAAATAATATATATAAAAAAGTTCATGAAATTCCTTATTTTCTGTTCTGATTTTTTGTGTTGCAATTTGATGAACATTAGGTGGCCCTAAAGGATTTGGTGATGTTGTCTGGAAAGTGAAGAAGTATAAGAATGAAGGTCATGCTCCTTTCATTCTCTTTGGCTATGACAGCTATGATGGTGAAGAAGGTTAGTGCATGACTACTTTTTCCAATCCAATCAAGCTTCCAAATTCATATATGAAAATGAGAATATGTTCATTTTCATTGCAAAGGATTGCTGGGGCTAATATTTGATTTCTTCTTGTATATTTTAACAGGATTTCCTGGTGAACTTAAAGTTACTGTGGGCTACACTCTTCTCCCTAAGAACCAGTTGAGTGTGACAATGAAAGCCAAAGCTGTAAAAAAGGATACTCCTGTGAATCTAATCCAGCATACATATTGGAACCTTGGTAACCATGACAGTGGAGATATCCTGTCTGAAGAAATCCAGCTTTTCGCCTCCCGCTACACACCTGTTGATAGCCAGCTTATTCCCACAGGCAAACTTTTGCCTGTGAAAGGAACTCCATATGATTTCCTCAAACCTAACACAATCGGAAGTAGAATCGAGGAACTTCCTAAAGGTTATGACATTAACTATGCCCTTGATGGTACTCCAGGAAAGCTGAATAAAGTAGCTGTGGTGAAGGATAAGAAGTCTGGAAGAGTTATGGAGCTGTTGGCCAATCAACCTGGTGTGCAGTTCTATACAGGAAACATGATAAGGTTCGTCTATAAGGCTCATGCAGCACTATGTTTGGAGACTCAAGGCTTCCCTGACTCTGTTAATCACCCCAACTTCCCTTCACAAATTGTTACCCCTGAAAAGCCTTACAAGCATAACATGCTTTTCAGGTTTTCAATTGCTCCATAGATAAAACTGACCTGATTAGTCATAAAACCATTTCCTATGAAGAAAACCGAGACTCGAACTTCGAATTGTTCTTAATACCTTATCACGAGACTTGAACAATAAAGTAATCTGATTCTGGCAGTTCCTGTATGGCAACTAAAATTGTCTTTAACAATGATTTTCTTTTGTGATTTGACCAGGGGAAACAGACATGTTTGCTTTCATTAATTAAATAAATATACAGTAATATTCGGCAAAAGAGTCGTGTCAAGCATGACTTATCCTTCAAATTTAATAAGATGTAATATTTTATTTCTATTTTTTCAAGATTGCAAGTAACCCAGTAGAACTTCAGCTAGCAAGAGTAAAAAACATTAAAAAAAGTCCAATCTAAGCTACCCAACCCAAAACCTTGCCGATAATATATAGGTAAACAAATGAAAGCCCACCCATTTAGATTCAGTATGTACCAATCCCAACAGCTCCAAGTTCAAATCAAAGCCGAAAGTTAATCAGTTCAAACAGAACCATGAGTTAAAAGGCAATGAATTCACTGTCTTCTGCTTCTGCTTCTCTAGTCAGAATCCCAACTCAGCTCCCCTACTTCGGGTTCTTATTTCCAAATGTATTTATGTTCTTTCATACAAGGCTTCCAAATATCATCTCTTTAGCTTCATCGAGATTTGTCAGATCCTTTTACTCTAATTCTGTGACATGCTCAATTCAATTCGCCATATTTGAATTGATTAATAATGCATATGCAGATAGAGTTGGATACTTTGCAGATTAAATCATGGCAAGGTTCGGTTCCCAAGACCTCACTGAAAGTTGGGGGTGAAGTTTTGGTAAGACTATAAGGTGGGATCCTACATACTGGAATAGAGAGATTCAAGAATTCATCGTTGAAAATTAAATGACCGAGACAATGTCGATATGAAACTTGTTCATTTCCAGGACTGTTTCCAACCAGCTGAAGTCCTTTCATCTGTTTCCAATGGGAAAAAAAAAAGGCTCTTTCATTTGACTCCACGGGAAATCCCTTTATCTTTCTCGTTCAGGAATTACTAAACGAATCAATTATAAATTTCAACCAGTTTTTCTAATGAAAGCTTATGGTATTTTTGAAAAAGTTTTTTTTTGGTTGAAATATTTTCCTTGTAATGAATGAGAGGAAACAGTTATGAGATTCACAAGCTAGATCTTTCACAAATAGCTATCAGAAAGAAATTACTTAGAGATTTGGCCAAACTAAAGAGCATTGTGTTCAATCCTATTTTTCTTGTTCTTGTTTATTTCTACGACTTCACTTTCAAAAACCAGAAATGCAACCAACAAATGATAGCAAATCTTAGGCCTAAGCTGATCCATGACCCCTGCTATGGACAACATATTCCATTTTCATGCTTTTAATTTTGTGTTGTATAGTTTCTTGTTATCATTATAATTGCTACTTCCACCCTTGCAGATGCATCTAATAACTTAAAGAAAAGAGTGCGTACATTTCTGCAAGCTTCATTCAGAAATCGTAATGTTTTGCAGGAACAAGATGATAAATTGAAACTTAAAGATCATTTCAGGAGGGCCTGTAAGAGGAGCATTGAGATTATTTTACTATGAAATAGTAAGTACTTTCACTAACAATTTCACTGAATAAAAAGAAAAAGTGGAGGCAAATTATCTTCCAATTACCATGTGGAAGAAAGCTAGTCAAGGTGGCCCACATCAGGAAGAAAGATGAAGCATGAATCTTCTCTGATATTTCTCTGCAACTAGCAATGAGAAAATAGGTGGGTAACCTTGAAGTAAATACTGGGGCAAAAACTACTTTGAGCATTGAGATTATTTTACAAGTTTCTTTCATAGTATAATTCCAAGCGGGTCAGTTTCAGTCGCCTTTCAAGGGAAGCCGAGCCGTAACTAGTGGGCTCAAACAAGAAGATATGTAGAAGGAAGACCTTGACTTCCAAAGCAAACTTGTTTAAATTCGACTGAGAGATTGGTCTGCCGAGCCGTAACTAGTGGGCTCAAACAAGAAGATATGTAGAAGGAAGACCTTGACTTCCAAAGCAAACTCGTTTAAATTCGACTGAGAGATTGGTCTGGAAATCACTTAACAAGATATGGCAAATGTAGTGTTGAACCCTCGATTTTCACCGCCAGGAAACCGAAAATTAAATAGAATTGGACATTGCGTAATATCTTAATAATTCAATAAATATTCAAAAATAATAATTTAACTCCAAAACATAAATTTAACAAGATAAATTGTTCGTTGATAAAGAAATTGGATTGTACGGTAACTTTCATGACTAATCGAAACTATTTGAAAAATATTTTTAACACGTTAAAATGAATTTTCTTTTAATATAATAAAATATTTAAAATTGAGTATAAATGAAATTAAAAATTAAAAAAACAAAATTTAACATTTAATAATATTTTTTTATTTTGTAATTCTGAATCTAATTTAATAGTTTTTTAATAATATTAATAACATAAAATTAATAAAGTAAAAATATATTAAAAATAATATAACTAAATATATCCCCCAAACTCTGCCTCAACCAAGCCCTTCACCGTCTCTAGAAACAGAATTTTATTTGACACATCAACTACCCGAAACGTCAATTTCATTGGCATAGAATCTTTTGAAACAACCTCCTCATACGATAAGGAACAAGCAATCCGATCTTCAACTTCAGCAACATAGTACTCACCCCAAGCATGCAAATAGAACAAAATGTCTTCTCCTAGACCAATTGAATCGTTTTCAAATTCGAGTTTGTCAATATTTGCCATCTGGAATGACTTTCCTTTCATTTATGCTGGTTCAAGACATTGGAAAGATAGTAGAAGAGTGGTGGAGCTGTTTGCGGATCGACCTACTGTACAGGAAACATGATAAAAGGATGTGAAGGGAAAAGGTGGATTCGTCTGTAGAGCTTATGCAGCACTATATTCGGAGACTCAAGGCTTGCCCAACTTCCCTTCAAAAAATTGTTACCGCTAAAAAGCCTTACAAGCATAACATGCTTTTCAAGTTTTGAATTGCACCATAGACAAACCTGATCAGTCATAAAACCATTTTGTCGTAAGAAAACTGAGACTTGAACAAGTCTTCGAAATGTTCTTGTTATAATACCTCATGAGACTTGAAAAATAATGTAAATTTTCAGGCTTTGTTCACTAGCAGTCTGATTCTGGCAGTTCCAATACAGGAACTAAAATTGTCTTTAACCAATCATTTGCTTTTGTGATTTGGCCAGAGAAAACAGATATTTGTCGTGCCTTGATTTATTATATAAATGCTACAGTAATATTAATCAAAAGAGTCGTAATCTAACTTCAAACTGCAACTAAAAATATACCTAAATGATGAAAGAAGTTTAAAAAATCTATTTCTTTTTTTTAAATGATTAAATTTTTTAAGTAGACATTAAAGTTTCTTTTGTTTTTTTTATTTGCTTAGCTAGCATTTAAAAAATTTCACGTAATATAACTTGTTGAGATTATGTGTTATGCCACATAAGATTTATCGTTAATTTAGACGGTTTAACAAACAAATGGATTACATTAATACACGTTTGGGCAATTGATAACTTAATTAAAACTTTTCAAAGATTAGGGCCAATATAAAATTTGGCTCATAATTTAGGAACCACATGTGCTATTAACTCTTAAGTTATTAGTATTTAGTATTATGTTATTATACATTTACAATTATTTTATTATTAATTTATTACTAAATTTTTTTATTATTTACTATAAAATTATTACTAATTTAATCACTACTAAATTATCATAATTTACTATAAGCTATCATTAATTTACTATTAAGTTATCTATGATTTACTATTAAAGTATCAGTTATCATTGATTGACTATTATGTTATCGATGATTTATTACTAAATTATACTTATTTACTTTTAAGTTTTCAATAATTAACTATGAAGTTATCAATTATTTATTACCAAATTATCATTTATTTATTTACTACTAAAATATTTATTATTGATACTACTAAGCTTATCAATTAATTAATATTAAACTAAAACCAATTTATCATGAATTTATTACTAAGTTATCATTGATTTATTACAAGTTATTAATAATTAACTATTAAGTTATTACTTATTTTTTATTAAGTTATCTGTGGTTTACTACTATATTAATTATTATACATTTACAATTATGTTATAATTGATTTATTACTAAATTATTAGACATTTAGTATTATGCTATCACTGATTTACTACAAAGTTATCAATTATTTACTATTATATTATAGTTGATTTATTATTAATCTTATTAATGAAGAAATTAAACAAGTATACAATAGTTTTCTTAATAAAAAGAGTTTCATATTAATTGTAAATGAATTCAAAATTAATACATTTGTATATTTTTTATTGGAATATCATATTGCACTAATGTTATTTGTTATATGGAGAATATGGAGCTATATACAATCAATCAATCTTTCATCTTTATTTTTTATATGAAAATATTTAATTTTTATTAAATAAATATTAAAATGCATAGTTTTGAAAATAAAATAAAATGATTCTAACTTTGGTATTTTTTTAACTAAATTTCAATCATCAAAATAGCAAACTTGTTATGTAGCACCCATGCAATTTATGCAATTTATAAAAATTTAATTTTGACAATTAACAATATAAATTTCCATGACTAATGTAATTTTGGTATAAATACATTCAAAAGATAATTCTACTGAATTTTATTCCGCCTTAAAAGAATTCATTAAAAATAGTTAATCTTCCTTTATTTGATAGTTCTTTACTTAAAATAATTTATGTTATATCATTCAATTATTTAGATGTCATCCACCTCTTAGTCTAGTGGCTAAGGAAGCATTACGAAGATATAGAGATCCTAGATTCGAGTCATAATCTCTTTCTCTTTTCCCTTTTTAAGGGTTATGCCCCTCTTGAACCATATATATATATATATATATATATATATATATATATATATATATATATGAATGATTAATTTTTCTCAAAACAATTGAATCTTTTTCAATTGTATTAAATTACTTGCCTTCTTTTTTTGTCATTATATATATATATATATATATGTAAATGAAGATAAAAATTGAGAGAAAGTTAAATCATTCACTCATTATTTTACTCAAGATGAATAAATTTGATTAAAAAAATTAGTGAAATCGAATCTTTAATTATTGGTACCTTTATTACCTTTTAAATTATCTAATTCTATAGGCGAATGGTTCAAGTAAAATGTTTAAAATATTCAATGAATCATGAAGTGTTAATTGTTGGTGACAGGTATATAATTAATTTACATTTGACTTGATATAAGTTTTTGGTTATGAGAATAATAAGTAAAAAATTTTAGAAGAAAAATACACAAAAAAAAAAAAACTAATTATAGAGTTTGGGTTAATAATAAATATTAAAGAATTACTTAAGGGATTAAAAGAACCCTATATTTTGATGGAAATTTAGATTTATTTGGTTATTTCATTAACTTTTTGTTAGTTGTTCATAGCTAATTATTCCCAACTTAAATATGATATTGTTAAAGGGAAGGACTGAAAATTAAAAAAATGAATAAAACGTGGAAAAAAATAATGAAAAAAATAAATCATTTTCTGTTTAAAATTAATGAAAAAAATCTTAAGTGATAAAATATAACTTTTTAAGTCACAATAATATAGTTTATTATGCACGAAAATAGTCTTTTTAATGTATTTTAAAATTAAAGTATTCATGATATAATAAAAAAAGAAATAATTTAACTTTAAATTTCGTAAAAAAAGCGTCCATTGAGGAAGTAATGTTTCAAATTTAAAAAGCTATATTTTGGATTATTTTTATTTTATATATTTTATTTTACGTAAAAATCATATTTTTTGGTTTCCATAAAAGTTCATTAATAAAAATCCAATAGTAAAAAATTATTTAAATTAAAATTTATAAAAAAATTACTAAAAATATTTTAATTAATCACTTTTAATTTTTTTGAAATTAAATTTTTATTAAGCGTATTTTAATTAATTAGTTTTAATATTTTTAAAATTTACATTTTTATATATAAATAAAATAAAATAATTTTAATTATGAAACTATTGGATTCAATAATCAAACTATATTTTTTTCTTATCATATTGATTTCCTGTCATAAGTTAAATTCTCATGTATAAGTATCACTAATGATTTCACTGAATAGACAGAAAAATTGAAGGCAAATTATCTTCCACTTACCATAAGGAAGAAAGCTAGCCAAGGTGGCCCACGTAAGGAAGAAATAGGAAGAGCGAATCTTCTATGATATTTCTCTGCAACAATGGAAAAATAAGCGGATAGCCGTGAAGTAAATACTGGGGCAAAAAGTACTTGGAGCATTCAGATTATTTTACAAGTTCTTTTCAGTAAAGTATAATGCCGCGTAGGTCTGTCGCCAAGGGAAAGCGCAACGAGTGGCTCAAACAAGAAGATACATAGAAATAGAAGGAAGACCTTGACTTCCAAAGCAAACTTGTTTAAATTCGATTGAAAGATTGGTCTGGAAATGATCACTATAACACATTATTATCAAAACCGAAAAAACTAAGCTCCATGATGGCTTCATCTGTGAGGATCACTGCCCTTGTTCTTTCTTACTGTGTTACAACTGCAGTTGTTGTGGTTGCGTTTGTTTCAGGTACTTTGGTTACTGGTCCGACCGTGTTAGCCCCTGCATCCTCGCTAGAGTTCGAAGCACAAGCTCTCCTCCGTTCTGGTTGGTGGAGTTGGTATAGCAATGACACTACAAATCGTTGCGACTGGCAAGCTATATCATGCAATAAAGCTGGAAGCATAACCCGTATTCAACTTGTTGGATGGCCAATCGGTGTTGAACTCGGAAAATTCAATTTCTCTTGCTTCCCAAACCTTGTTTATCTTGATCTTGCTTCCTCTGAGGTTACTGGCGGCATCCCACCTGAAATAGGTGCTTTATCATCACTCAAGTACCTCGACCTGTCGAACAATTTTCTAACAGGTGAGTTACCATGCTCTCTTGGAAAACTTACTCAATTAAAAGAGCTCTATCTTGGGGGAACTATTTTGAAGGTCCTATCCCCCTTGAATTAGGAAACTTGAAGAGTTTGTTGTCTTTGACAATGACGAGTTGCAACATTACCGGTCTTAGCCCTTTTACCCTGGGTAATTTAACCAATTTGGAAACCTTTGATCTAAGCAATAACCATATTACTGGTCACATCCCTTCTACTCTGGGTAATTTAACCAATTTGAACATTTTGGACCTAAGCCATAATCATATTACTGGTCCCATCCCTTCTACTTTGGGTAATTTAACCACTTTGATACTATTGGACCTAAGCTATAACCGAATCACTGGGCCATTCCCTCCTTTGAGTGGTTTAATTGATTTGATGAATTTGTACCTTCATTCAAATCTTTTGCAAGGTCCAATCCCTCGTGAAGTTGGAAATATGAAGAATCTAGTAGATTTAAATATTTCGTTCAATCTTTTGGACGGTCCCTTGCCCAAATCAATGGAGAATTTAAAAGCTTTAAGATACCTGGACCTCTCCGAAAACAAATTGATTGGACCTCTTCCATCTCTAATTTGGGATTGCTCAAATTTACAAACATTGTCTTTGAGAAACAACCATATAAATGGAAGCATTCCCTTTGAAATCTTCGATTGTCCTCGCACTCTTGATCTAAGTCATAACTTCATCCAGGGAGAAATACCGCATCTTGATCACTTGGATTACTTGAGAGTTTTGGATCTCAGCCAAAATAATCTGAAGGGCATAATTCCTGAATCTTTCAGGTCTTTGAATAGCCTTAATCTGTCATATAATTCTCTAGAGGGTCCTATTCCAGACCACTTGAGATACTTAACAGTTTTGGATCTCAGCCATAATTATCTAACGGGCACAATTCCTGAATCTTTCGAGTTTCTCCAGAGCCTCAATCTGTCATATAATTCTCTAGAGGGTCCTATTCCTGATTACTTGAGTAATTTATTTGCTCCTAAGTCATTTTTGGGCAACAAGTATTTGTGCGGAAACATAACAGGTTTCCCTCCTTGCCCGCCTCCCATTACTACAACAACAGCAAGCAGCGAGGTAAAAATGGCTAAAATCATCGTTCCAATTGTCGGTTTTTTAGCCATCTTGTCTTCAGGATTTTTACTCTGCCACAGATGCAGAGCAAAAAACAGCATTTCTGATCTAGATGTCACTAAAAATGGAGATATATTTTCAATATGGAACTTTGATGGAAGAATTGCTTTTGAAGACATCATTGAGGCGACAGAGGACTTTGACATCCGATATTGCATTGGCACAGGTGGTTATGGTAGTGTTTATAGAGCACAATTACCAAGTGGAAAGATTGTTGCCTTAAAGAAACTTCACCGTTTAGAAGCAGAGGTACCAGCTTTTGACAGGAGTTTCAGGAATGAGGCAAAACTATTAACAGAAATACGGCACAAGAACATTGTGAAGCTTCATGGATTTTGTCTCCATAACCGTTGCATGTTTTTGATTTATGAATACATGGAGCGAGGGAGCTTATTTTGTGCCCTTACAGATGACACTGAAGCAGTGGAGTTGGATTGGATCAAAAGGGTGAAAATAATCAAAGATACAGCATGTGCTTTATCTTATCTGCATCATGATTGCCATCCTCCAATAGTTCATCGAGACATATCAAGCAATAACATATTATTGAACTCAAATCTGGAGGCTTATGTCTCTGATTTTGGCACAGCTAGACTCCTTGACCCTGATTCATCCAATCAAACAATGCTTGTTGGAACCTATGGATATGTTGCACCAGGTAATGTTTTCAAACTATGGGTGTGTTTTTGTTTTTTTGTTCTAACTATTTGTTCTCCTTGACTTTGATTGATCCAATCAAACAATTCTTTTTTTTTTTTTTGTATGCAGAACTTGCTTATACTATGGTTGTAACTGAAAAATGTGATGTCTATAGCTTTGGAGTATTGGCACTAGAAACACTCATGGGAAAGCATCCTGGGGAACTCTTGCTATCACTATCAACACCATCTTCCAAAAATATAATGCTGAGTGATATATTGGATCCACGCCTATCACTTCCAAGAATTCGAAGGATTGAACAAGATATTATTTTTGCCGCCACAATTGCATTTGCGTGCTTAAGGTTGAAGCCAAAGTCCCGGCCAACAATGAAGCGTGTGTCTCAAGAGTTTCCTTCTCGGAATAGACCATCAATGGAGCCTCTCCAAGCAATCTCTATGTTGCAACTCAAGGACCATGAACTGTATCTGGATGGTGAAGGCAAGATTCCATCTCATAATTCAGGCCAAGATGGTGAAATCCATGTCATTTCTTCAACTTAATTTTCATGTCTGTTATTTGGTCTCTTCACTTTCTGTCTTTTCCTTCGATGTCAGAGGTTTGTCAATTCTGATATTGTAATTCTGCAGTTCTGCTTATTGTCCTTGGTGTCTTTGTTCTTGCAAATCTGAACCTTGACTGCATATTGTTATTGTCAATAATTCGAGCTGTGACTGGTGATTGAGAAACCATGTCCTGTTAATCACTCTTACCAAAGTTTGTTGGAAATGATCGAAATTCCAAACCAGTCTTCTGATCCATAGATTTAAAAACAAATTAAAGACCTACCATTTAGATTCATCTGGGATCATGATGCATGGGAGCTAGGCTAATTCAACTTTAGTTCCATATCTAAGAGCCCATACCAAATTTTCTTTGCAACCATAGATGTGAAAATCTTGGTAAATGCCTTGAAAACATCAATATGGTTCTAATATCCTAATATGGACAATCAAAAATTGCAGTCTTCAAACCAGAAGTGCATGGAATATCACCGTATATTTGTAAAACTAAAGTAAAATTGATGCTGTAGTCATCAAAGATATCCGCAGTGGTTTTCAAAATAACCTGGGACAATTAGTGATAACCACTCTTGTTTCTAAATAATTAAAAATGACCAGCATTACTATTTCCCCAAGCATGCACAAATGGTCATCTTAAGACTTAATGCATTCAAACTTCGAACTGTTTAAAGAAAAGAAAAGCAATAGATTAAGGTTTGTGATATTGCAGTTGCTTGAAGATCCGACCTAGTCACTTACAGTTAAACCACAAGGGTACCTAGTAGATGAGCTGCAACAATATTGTTAAGAATATAAGCTCTGGAAGCCAGCTCAGATGCATGGAAGATGGCAACCCCATCGGTATCTTCTCTAGAAACAGTAAATACATTGCAAGAGAGGTTGGTTTCTTTTTTGATGTCGCCAGAGTATGTCCATTTAGCCGCAGAGAAGCATAGCTTTCCACCACCTAGATTCTGTAAAGCAACACTCTCATGCCAAATATTTGGAAACACCTGTGCTTCAACCAAACCCTTCATCGGCTCTGGAAACAAGGCAAAACCAAGGGCATAAATCTTGCCATTGATAACAGTGCAATGATGATAGAAAAGGCCATTTTGCACGCGAGGGCCTTCCTTCCATCGCTGCTCTTGCTTTCCAGAACTTAAATCACAGAGTCAATAGAGATGCAAATATTCATTGAAATTCAATAAGATTGCTAAGCATTCCATATGATATGATTAAGTGGATTCGAGCAAATTAAATGTGGCATCACTAAAAGCGAGTCTTCATCACTTCTACTATTTCACTTCACATATTTAACTGTTGAATCCTATGTTCTCCAAAATTCAACTAAAACATAACTTATAATTTGAAAATTTCCAGCAACAGAAGACAATGTGGGACACCCCACCATGGATGCTCCAAAAGCTAAAAACTATTTTCCCTCTGGAAGAGGATAGAAAGAAACCTCATTTTGTGCAGATTACAGGAGGGTATGCTGATTTTGCTTTGTTGAAAAATCAAGAGCACCAGCTCCTTCTGAACTCCCGGGTGATGGAGAATTTTTAGCTTTGGTCATGTCACAACAACCATTCAAAACATTTTGAGGAGACATACCGGAGACCACTCGGGCCTTAGAATGCAACTTCATAGTTGCTTTCCAGTTTCCACCTTTCCCTTAATGAGCGCAAGAAATTGCTTTCAAATGGATAAAATTTTCATTTCTTAAATCCCAAACAAAACTCTTACCCTACAACTTTTGCTTTATTATCACGGTTGTCTGGAGAAAAGCATCATAGAGGTTTACCTTATATTGAAGCGACAACAGAATCCATTGAACATTCTAAAGTTTTGGTATTTGAAGTAGGCTCAACTTAGTAATGCACCAACTAGCTCTAGGTGCAATAATTAGCAAATTATCACCATATACCGAAGGCAAGTAATGGAGTATTCATTTCTTGTCGCAATTGCTGGATATGAAAGCATCTGGTGGTGCGAATGTTATGCGATGAACAAACAGTAGGATATTAATCTGAAAAAAGAATTAAGACAATTAAAAGGTGAAATGAAGAGGAAACCATTTTCATTAATTCCAAAAAGCTCTTCATTGTTTCGCACAGGAGTTTCATCGAATTGATCAACTTCATTTTGGAGAACATTCCCGTAAATACCCACTATTAAGAAAGAACAATTCAGCATGAACTTCCAAACTCATGGCCGATGTTCATTTTCCAAGGATTACTTGAATCCCCGGAACGAAAACATGTAATGAAATGGTAAAGAGCCGGGGTGGGCAAATACTCAATGTAAAGGTTGGCCAACAGTAGGTTTGGGTGATTGGTGAAGATGATTATTATGATACGGAGAGACATGCGGACCATTCGGAGAGGACAGGCTTCTGGTAGGTTGTCCGTCCCTTAACAACAACCCTGCCTGCACTCTACTGCCAGTTCTAGATTTCGAAGAGGATCCAATGCGCTCTAACTGTATGGTTTGGAATAGGGAAGAAGTATAAGCCATATCCTTGAGATTTGGCAGAGGCTTTAGGGCTTCAACAACTTCACTCATCAGAGGTCTGGCTTTTGGATCACGGCTAAGGCAAAGCTCTGCCAATTGAATTGCTTTCTGAGCAACTTTTATTGAAAAGTGTCCTTCAAGGCGGGGATCCATAAGTCGATAAAACCTTCTTCCCTCTCCAAGATAGGGTCGAGCCCATTCAACCAGGTTATGCTCCCCAGTTGGTCGGTTTTTGTCCATGGATCTTCGGCCCGTCAACATCTTAAGCAGAACCATCCCAATGCCAAAGGCGTCACTATTTGATGTAAAATCTTATCATGTCCTGAAACTAGACATAACAAGAATATGTTATCTTAAAATAAAATCTTAAAATAATAAGAAAATTTTTTTAATTGTTATAAAATTATTCAATAAAATAATTTGTCCAAATAAAATTCATATATTTAATTCAACTAAAGATAAATTTCTATATATACAAATGTAAAGTAATAAAAAAATTATAAAATCGTTTTGTAAGATCTCATCTACCGATAATATATCCTATGTCCAAGTAACCTTTCTAATTTAATCTTTTAACCTCTCACATGACTAATCAAACTTATCATTCTAATCATCTGTAAAGAGAAAGTAAAAAGAAAAGTAAGTAAACCACAGCTTAGTAAATATAAGCTCGTACATCTTACCAAATCAATTTTCATATATACATATAGCTTATTCAAAACATCATTCAAATTATACTTCCAAAATATTTGAATAGGCATTCAAAGAATTGATACCAGATCAAAGTATTTCATCAATTACAAATCATACATCATGGTCAAATAATTACTTCATATAAATTATGGATCAATATTCAAAATCATAAAATTCATTATCATAAATCTTCATTATCATTAGTTCATCGTTAGCTACAGTTACTACTATAATCTGCAACATTAGCCGTGTTGATAGTTTCATTCTTATAATCATTGTTACTATTATAACCCACTAGCTAAACCTTATGCTAATTACTATAACCTATTAGCAGGACCGTATGATCATTGCTATACTAACTATTAGAACTCGTTAGCTAGGATCGTAGAACTAGTTCTGGTGTCGATGATCTCACTTTTGAGGGATGTAAATTCGTAGTTATCATAAAATTGTTCTTTAAGCATAAATTAAAATTTCATTTCATTCGTAAGCATGATCCATTGTTTATATAGCAAAACGAAAAATAATCATATATTTGATCATATTTTCATATATCAAAAATAAAGAAATAAAATATTCACCCATTTAGAAACATACATATATACATAAGTTCGAAAATAAGTAAAGTGTATAAGATTTTACTTACCTCATTTTGATTCCACCACTTAGATTTTACCTAAAATAGTTAATGACCTATTCAAGATCATTTTAACATATAAGAAATTAATCAACCCTTTTTGAAACAATTTACATTAAAAATAACTAAATTATACTCTACGCTATTTTCACAAAAATGACCATATTTCAAAATATATAACTCAAAATTAAAATTTTTTTAGTGCATTAAAAATTAGACTCGATAAGCTTTCTAACTATATATGGCACACCTTTTAATTCCTTGTAGATTAATTATAAAATTTTTTTTAATCCACATTATATACTGCTACAACCTTTTAATAAAAATTAGATATTTACTCTTAAGAGACTTAGAATTCAGTTCTGCTTATTTCGTTAGAAAGTAAACTTAATAACCTTTTCAAACATGTATGGTTGAATTAGTAATTTATTGTATAAAAATTAAGAAAATTTTCATAATTTCTCCTGGGTTCTGTTGCCCAACAACCTACACATCTTTAAGTAAAAATTGGATAACTCTTCATAAAAAATTCAAAATCAGCTTCTGTTTGTTTCATTGAAAAGTAGATTCAACAATTTTTCCAACGATATATATTAATTATTGTAATAACTTATCTATTAATATAGAAATTCATTTTAATTCATTGTTATAGATAATAGCATCTTATCCAAAAACAAATTTTCTCCTTTAATATTTAAAAACCCAAATTCCAAATTTCAACCTTTAAAATCTATTCAAAAATTATTATTAAATCTTAATAACATGAACTAAACAAAGCTCAATAATTTACCCAAATAAATCATGAAGACTAATGAGAGACTTCATAAATTTTTAAAATTTTTCTCTCATAAACTTCAACTTCAAATAACAACAATCTTTATATATTTTTCCTAAATAAAAAGGTGTGTACTCACCTTTAGGAGATTAATCTGATTGTAATCTCTGATTTTGAATCTCTAACTTAATTTTTTATACTCTCTAACCTAAGGAAGATGAGAAAGAAAAACTTTTATTTTTTTTCTATTTCATCATAACTAAGTTTTCTCTCATAAAATACCTTAGCGACATTTTCTTTAGTAATTAATCTTTTAATTAAATAAATAAGTTTTAGTAATAGTTTAGCCTAATTATCATTTGGGCTTAGGTATTACAGATGCCTTAGAAAAATATGGTTCTCATTAGGTGGAAAATTTTCTTGTTTCTGTTTTTTTTTTCTATTTTCCATTTTTGAAAAAAAGAACGTGCTTCAATTGCATATTCAAGTTAATAGAGAAGCCATGATCTTATACTCTAGTTCATGTTTAAGAGATGCATAAGTTCTTAGAAAAATGTTAATATATGCTAATTAATCTTCAAAGGAGTTCAACCATATTTACTTGTCATAGCATACTGAGCTGCATAACCATAAGTTCCCATCCAGGAGTAGATGCATGAGTCTTATCTCCTTCTGGACCATCTTTGGCAAGTCCAAAGTTAGAAAGCTTGGCATTAAAGAAGATTTCATAATTAAAGTCTCGATATATTACTGGCTGTTTAGCCTCCTAGCAAAGAAAAGCAAAACCCAACGTAGTAAAAAAGTGCGATTTTCATTCTTGTGGACCAAGGAAGAGGCATGGACCCTGATTAAATGAATGAATGACTTGCACCGCAAAAAGAGAAAAACTTGTTCTCTGGCTCTTAAACTGAAGTTATGAAATCTAATGGATTGATCTCATATATATATATATATATATAAATGAAAGTAGAAATCTTCCTGGACATATTAGTCAAAATTGATCCATCTTATTATTGGTTTAAATAGAGATTACACTTAACCGAAATCGTACTATATGATTTGGTATGTTGCAATATGATACCACTAAATTACTCATAATTTGAGGTTAATTTACTTAAGTTTAGATTAATTTATTGTGTTAGTCTTGTTGGGATTTGTCTTGAATCTCATAATCTGACATTGAAAGTTAGTGAGTTTCAAGTTTATCTTGTATCCCACATCGGGAGTTTAGTAAAGGTATAAGGGGTTTCACCATTATAAATAAGATGTTTTAGTTTTGGTTTGGTAGTCCCAGATAGTTAGACACCAAAAAAATAACTAGGTGAATAGGTTATTAAAATGGTGTAATTAGATTTTGGGTTAAGTTTTGAGTAAGAAGTTTTTAAAGCTTTTTCTTATTCTAAAAGTCTCACAGTTGTAAAGATTTATTTGTTAATGGATTAGGTTTGGAGTAGGCCATTTTGAGTTGGACCAAAACAAATATATTTATGTGTTGTTATTCTTGATTTGAGCTTGCTATTTTGTTAGTGGGTGCTGCATATGTGTGTTGATTTTCTAACAAGTGGTATTAGAGCTATGGTGATCCTTAACAAGTGGTATCAGAGCGAAGTTTGAGGTTTAAGATTCGTGGGCCAAAGAGATCGTGAAACAGTATTTCAAGATGTCTAAAGAAAGTATGTCTAGTATGCCTATGCCTAAGTTTGAGATTTTGTTATTTGATGTAAAGAGTAATTTTATGTTATGGTAAAGTATGATTCAAGATTTGTTAGTACAACAAGGGTTGGATCAGGTATTAGAGAGTAATAAGCCTGAAAAAATGTTTGACGCTAATTGGAATAGGATTTAGAAAAAAGTTATTAGTACATTAGATTGGCACTAGCTCCAGAGGTAAAGTATAGTATGTTGACTAAGAATACTTCAAAGAGTTTGTGGGATAAGCTTAAGGGTATTGATGCTTCGAAGTCATTAACTAACAAATTATGTTTGAAGATGGATCTGTATTCTCTGAAGATGAAAGAAGGTATGAGTCTTCATAATCATCTAAATGAGTTTAATAGATTAGTTTCTCAATTGTTGGTAATTTCTGTTGATGAATTAAAAGATAAAAAAAAAAGATTTAATTTTACTGTCATCTTTGCTCAAGTCTTATAGACCTTTAGTTCAGACTGTGTTGGTAGGTAGGTCTACTTTGAAGTTGATGATGTGAATGCCCTGTTACATGAGAACAAAGGTTTATGGGAGCACATAACTCATCATCTGGGGAGAATACACTAGCTATAGAGGGTTTTGATCGAGGGAAGACTCAAAAGAGGATTGATAGATTAAAAGGTAAATCCAAGCCAAAAGATAAAGATTATAGTGATATAAAATGTTATTATTATGGTAAAAAGAGACATATCCAAGTGTGCTGCAAGAAGCTGAGAAAGGATATGGCTGCTTTCAAAAAGGTGAATGATGAGAGGAAATCAGATGAAGGAAAGAGTGATACTACTACCGTCGTATCTAATGATGATGATGATGATGTCATTTTGATGACTTGTATGGATGAGACTCAAACTTTGAAAGGTGATAAAGATTGAGTTTTAGATTCTGTTGCTATAGTTTATGTTTGCAATGATAGGAATTACTTTGTGAATTTGGATGAGAATGAGAAGTGTGGGGATATTGTGGTTGTTAACAAAGAAAATGTACAGATTCAAGGCATTATGAGTGTTCGCCTTAGATCTCACAATGGTGTTGTTAGGAAGTTTCATCATGTAAGGTATGTACTGAGTTGTAACTATAATTTAATTACTTTGGGTGAGTTAGCTTCTTGATGATACACATATAATAATAGTATTGATTGGTTGAAAGTGTACAAGAAAGGAAGTGTAATTCTATAAGGGAATAGGGTCAAAAATCACTTATACATACTTGATGGAGGCTTGGTTGCTAGAATCCCTGTGATGAAAGAAAAGAAAAAGGGTAAGCGTGTTAACTTTGTAGATACTATTGAAGTGTTTGGAGATTCAAGTCAATGGAGGATTTGTTGGGATTTACCTTGAATCTCATAATCCCACATCTAAAGTTAGTGAGTTTCAAGTTTGTCTTGAATCCCACATCGGTAATTTAATAAAGGTATAAAGGGTTTCACCCTTATAAATAAGATGTTTTGATTTTGGATTGATAGTCCCAGATAATTAGACACCAAGAGAATAGCTAGGTGAGTAGGTTATTAATAGGGGTGTAATTGGGTTTTGAGTAAAGAGTTTTTAGAGACTTTTTTCATTCTAAAAGTCTTACAGTTGTAAAGATCTATTTGTTAGTGGATTAGGTTTGGAGTAGATCATTTTGAGTTAGACCGAAATAAATATATTTTTGTATTTTTATTCTTGATTTGAGCTTGTTATTTTATTAGTGGGTGCTACTTGTGTGTGTTGATTTCCTAATAAGTCTATGATATAAGATAAATTCAACACTTTCATATGCTTCCAATGGAGGAAAAAAAAAAAAACTGTCATTTGACTCCACGGGAAATCCCTTTATCTTTCTCGTTCAAGAATTATTCAACCGATCAATTATAAGTTTCAACCAGTGCTTATGGTATTTTTTAAAAAATTTTTTGGTTGAAATATTTTCCTTGAAATGAATGGGGGGAAACAGTTATACGATTCATGAGCTAGATCTTTTAGAAAATAGCTATCAGAAAGAAATTACTTAGAGATTTGGCCAAACTAAAGAACATTGTCAAATCCTGTTTTTCTTATTCTTATTTTTATCTATGACTTCACTTTAAAAAACCAGTAATGGAACCAACAAATGATAGCAAATCTTAGGCCTATGCTGATCCATGACCCCTGCTATGGACAGCATTTTCGATTTTCATGCTTTTAATTATGTGTTGTATAGTGTCTTGTTATCATTATAATCGTCACTTCCAGCCTTGCAGGTGCATCTGCTATTTCAGCTTGGAGATCTTTCTTTCCATTATTAATCTGTCTCTAATAACTTAAATAAAATAATGCGTACATTTCCGCAACATTCAGCAATCCTATTGTTTTGTAGGAACAAGATGATAAATTGAAACCTAAGACAATTTCAGGAGGGCCTGCATGAGGAGCATTGAGATTATTTTACCCTGAAATATTTAGTACTTTCACTAATAATTTCACTGTATAAAAAGAAAAAAGTGGGGGCATATTTTCTTCCAATTACCATAAGGAAGAGGCTAGTCAAAGTGGCCCACATCAGGAAGAAAGATGAAACATGAATCTTCTCTGATATTTCTCTGCAACTAGCAATGGGAAAATAGGTGGGTAGCCTTGAAGTAAATAATGGGGCAAAAACTACATGAAACATTGAGATTATTTTATAAGTTTCTTTCATAGTAATTTCGCGTGAGTCAGTTTCAGTCGCCCTTCAAGGGAAGCCAAAACCGTAACGAGTGAGCTCAAACAAGAAGATATGTAGAAGGACGACCTTGACTTCCAAAGCAAACTTGTTTAAATTTGACTAAGTGATTGGTCAGGAAATCAATAACGCGAAATGAAGTGTTGTACCCTCGATTGTTACTGTCAAGGAGCCGAATATTAAATAGAACTGGGAATCGCTTTTGATGCTGCTGTTGCTTTGGCATGCTTAGGGACCAAACCCAAGTCCCGACCAACAATGAAATTAGTGTCTCAAGAATTTCTTCATACCCTGTCTCCGATTGGAATGCCTCTTCATGAAATATCTCTCATCGAGCTTAAGAATCTTGAGATGCTTATGATTGGTGAAATTTAAACAAATAATTGTAGTTTGGAACTATATTTTCAAAGTGGCTGAATATGAAATTCTTCTATTTATATAATTTTCTCCTCGAATTTTAGCATTTTTTTTTTTTTGGGTTATAAAAGAAAAGAAAGAAACCGAAGATATTATAATGTCTCGAATTTTAGGTTAAATGTTAAAGATAGAATCAGGTTTAATTTAATTAATGAGTTTGTCTTGTTTATCACTTTAAAAATTTTAAAAATTCTGTGTTTTGTTCCTTTGAATGCCAATGCATTATTTTATATTTGGAATTCATACTTCAAGTGAATGAGAATTACTTGCTTAATCTTTTTTTAAATTTTTTCTAAAAGTAGCCAATTGGGAAAATTTTCTTGCAAGACATGGCTGTTAACAGGCGATGAACAATGGCAATAAAATTTCAATGCATCAATAGCTTTTTATGGACCCATTTCAACTGCTGAATTATTGCATTTCACGCATTTTCCATGAACTTGGTGTGCAAATGTTGATGAAAAGCATGTAAACTTTGGAGTCAATGGTGGAATGTGGGAACTTATCAATTTTCCATTTTATGAAGCAATAAACAGGATTTTTGACTCATAGTAAAAATCTTTGAAATTAAACTAGTAAATTTTGAAATTATGGAAGGAAACATTTATGAGATTGACATGCTAGATCTTTCAGAAAATAGTTATTGGAAATAATTACTTATGAGATTTGGTCCAATCCTGTTCTTTTTGTTTTTATTTTTTAATTACGACTTCCCTTCAAAACCAGTTTAGGGTAGCAAATCTTAGGCCTAAGCTGATCCATGACCAACATTTTCCATTTTTGTGCTTTTATGTGTTGTATAGTCTCTTGTTACCATTATAATCGTTATTTTCTATCATACATCTGCTATTTCAGCTTGAAGATCTTTCTTTCCAGTTATATATCTGTCTCTAATAGATTTCCGAAACATTCATTTAGTAATAGTATTGGTTTACAGGAACAAGGTAATAAATTGAAACCTAAAATTTAACTAGAATCATTTCAGGAGCATTGAGATTATTTTATCATGAACTATTAAGCACTTTCAATAATGATTGTACCGTAGAAATTAAGAAAATGGAGCCAAATTATCTTGTATCTTTGTCTCCCAATAACCATAAGAAAGAACGCTAGCCAAGGCGGCCCGCAAAGGAAGAAAGAGGAAGCATATGCAACTTCTCTGACATTTCTATGCAACTAGCAATGTGAAAATATTGGGTGACCTTAAAGTAAATACTGGGGCGGCAAAATGTACATGGACAAGAAAAAAGATGCTCAGACACGAGAATTTTTTGTAAACCTAGATGTTTTCAGTATATGCTCTACCGCTCTTAATGATGGAAATTCAGAATTATGAAAAACAGATTGTAGCAATATCTCATTTTTTATTGCGTCACGTTTATTGTGGTGGTTGTTGAATATGACGAACAAGATAGCGGGAGTCGTATTTATCATGATCATGAATTTTTTTAAAAATTTTCACAATTTAGTTTAAATGAAAAAAAAAGGTTTGATATAATAATATTTATTTATAATATTTAAAATTGTAATACCTATATAAAAAAAAGATTATTTTTAAGTGAAGAGACATTTTAATAAAGAATTAAAAAGGCAAAGAACTTAATGATAAATAACCCAATTTTTAATAGGCTTAACTTATACTGCTTATTTGACCAACAATTGATCGAAAGAAAAGAAAAGGCTTATTTTCCTTCTTTTCCTTATACAAAGTAGATAAGTTGAAGGATTTCAATTGAAGGTTAAGAAGAAAATCTACAAGGAGAGTTATCTTTAAAAGGTGAGCAAAATAACTTCCTTCATTTTTGAAGAAATAATTTTAATTGTTAAGTTTTGGAGTTTAACTTGTAATCGATAAATTCTAAAATTTTAGAAAATCTATTATCCCTCTTCAAGATTGGTTTTGACAAATCTATAAAACTTTAATTAGTTCATAATGAAGTGTTAAGAAGTTTTAGTAATGTGATTTTATGGTCGTAAAAATAGAAAAAAAATTGGATGGGGTTAGAAAGGAAAATTTTTGTTTCGTTTGAACAATGGTGTTTGCAGTAGTGGATTAAAATAAAATTCTATAATAAGAGATAAAATATCACTATGATTGTTATATACATTGGAAAGTTTGTTAAAATACTTTCTAACAAAACAAACGAAAATCAATTCTGAAGTTCTATGAAGAGTTGTCTTATATCTACTTAAAGATGTATAGGTTACCGACACTACAACAAATTTGATCATTAGTGACGCTATAATAATGTCACTAAATATTTATTTTTCATCACCCTATGTATTTTGTGACAAAAAAAAAATAAACGTCACGGCGTTCATCATG